TTGACTTTGACGTTTAGGTGAATTGACAAGTATGAGCGTGACTTACAACGTCACGAGGAGGAGAGATGGTGCGCATGAGCAGGAAATGTTATAATTATGTGAGGAGTAGATAATGGATCTACACGTCTTTCTAGTCAACATTCTCTCTATTGCCAAACTTAACTTTTTTTGGAATCAAGAATTTGCAAGAATTTGAAAGGGGTGGTGAGACCGTAAGGAAAAGAATTGGAGCTCTTAACTAGGAAGTAGACATTGTCATGACGTGTTTAAACGTGTATTGAAATTAAATCCTGCCTTATAATAGAGCGTACGATAGAAGAATTCAAACAAAATAACGCGTTTTGTTAACTCTGGAGGTTTGGAGGCTCAATCTGACACACTTGAAGGCAACAACACAGTAAAATTTCGAATCTCAAACTAGAAAACGTCTATTTAGATCTAAAGAGGCACGTTTTCTCTTTTGTTCAACCAATCGGTGTTGTGACTTCTTCTTTTTCTCTTTGTGATCTTTTCGACTCCTACGATCCCACCAGCCTTACAAGTATTTAAACGATGGGAAATTTAAATGGCCAAGCTATTATGACGCCAATGGCATTGGACGACCCTCTTCCCAAAAGGAGATCAAGTCGGTTTGTCATTGTTGAAGAAGAATTGGAGCTGGACATGCAAAACTTGGACGCTGTAGAAAACCCACCACACACCACACCACCATCACCCAATAAAAAAATGAGCAGTACGCTGTATCAGCCTGTGTCTATTCACGAGAGCGGCCTACAGGATGCTGAAGTGGCCAAACCTGAAGCTACTGCTGCAGAACAAGAACGGGAGGATGAGCAGGCTAAACGTGCTGTAAGTTTCCATACCAATCGGCCATTTCTAACGATGCCAGCTCCATTGACGCATGCAAAAGCACTACTTGCATTCTCCTCTTGCTCCCCCATCGATGCTGTCCACGATACAAATTGCCCGTCACCTTATCTCCAAAAACACAACAATGACATCTTTCCACGTTAGGTCGATCTGTTTTTCGAGAACAACCTCTCGGGAGCTGATTCGTTGCTTCAAGGAAAGTTCGACCCGCTATACTCGGTCGCCATCTCGTACATCTTGAGCATCAAGGGTATGTAACGCCAAAAAAAAAGTGTAATCCGGTGGACTACTATCAAACATGTCAGCGACACTAACCGCATGGCCATTTACTGATTCTTATCTATATTTTCAACTATATTAGCCCTCATGACCCAATCAGAAGAACACATACAGGCTGCCGTGACAGCACTAGATCAAGCTGAAAGACTCGCAGATGCTCAAATAGCGCAATACTACTCCACCACCACATCCTCAAAAGTTGCATCGGCATTCTCATCTGCTGCAAGACTAGCTCGATCCTCATGGCTCAACTTGCGAGGTGACAAAGCAACACCTTCACCACCACAAAAGGAAAAACCAAAGGAGCTAGCTGAATTGACGAATGGTGAAGTTCGAGCCCTTGTGATCCGAGCTGAAGCTTGTTTCATGTCTGGCATGCTGCAGATTCTGGATGAGAATAATGTAATGGGTTATGTACGTGCTGGATTGAAACTTCGGAGGACGTGGAAGACGTATACGAATATATGGAACGAGCTCGTGAAACGGGGATGGCAGGACGGTGGAGGAGTGCTGGATAAGCATACGTTGGGTGGTGTACAGTTTGGAATTGGATCTATACATGCGTGTATGTCGATGCTGTAAGTACTTGGTTTTGACGGTTGGAATCCGCCGAGATGCACTCTCTCTTCTTCGCTCTTTTTCCTCTGTCACAAACAATCTGCTCATCTCCACAATTCAATATCTAGTCCTGACAAGCTTCTGAACGTGGTCTCCTTCTTGGGAATAAACTTCGACAACAAGTTAGGATTCGCTAATCTGGAATACTCCTTCCAAGGTATCATATTCGATGGATATCCAAAGAAAAGAGTTTTTTGCTTTCAGCAGAGTACCGCATATGCTAAAAAAAATCACGTATAGGCCAAGGAATGCGATCTCCAGTAGCATCATGCATGCTCCTCGCGCTCCACACGATAATGCCTTCCCACTCTCCCACGATCCTAGTACCCACCCACCTCCCAGAAGCCGAACGACTATTACGAGAAACACTTCAACGCTATCCTAAATCTGCTCTGCACTTGTATTTCGCGGGCAGAACACTACGTATGAGACGTGATTTAGCTGGCTCGACGCAGGCGTTTGAGCAATCAAAAGCACATTCGCAGAACGAGTGGAGAGAGTTACGGAGCTTGTGTACTTGGGAGATGGCGTTGAATGCTGCTTTTGATGGTGATTGGAGTACTGCTGCTGATCATATGTTGGTGTTGATTGATGATGGATGTAAGTTTGTCCATTCATGTCCTGTATGGATTGGTTTTTGTTCATCAGTGTGTCTGATATTTTATAACTAACACAACCTCTCCACAAACCAGACTGGTCCAAAGCCTTCCTCACGTACGCACGCGCCACCTTCCTCGACGCAGCAGGCCACCCCTACAAGGACGTGCAGGCCGAATACCAAAAAGTGCCCTTCCTCAATGAGAAACGATTCGGCCGCATCCCAGCAATAGAAAATTTCGTCACTCGTCGTGCCAGATTCTTGGGCACTCGTGGTCCCACAGCATCACCAGCAATGCTGCCAGCACATGAACTAGTCGCATTCTGGAATGGATGGTCGTTTATGGACGCTGCGAGACTCGTCGCATCGTGTACAGAGATTGATGAGGCTATGAGGAACTTAAGTGAGAATATGGTGCCTGTGCCGAGGAATTTGGATGGTGTGTTGATTGGTGGGTCGTCGTCGAGTCTGGCGAGTAATGGGTCTTCGAATGGAGGTGGTGCTAGTAGTAGCAGTGGAAGGAGTTCTGGTGGTGGTCCAACTCCCATTGGGAAGGTGATATGGACTAATCAGGAAAGGTAGGTGTCCTGATGTAAGGTTGAATTTATCGCAGCACGCAGCGAATTCCATGTATACTCGGTGGTAAATTTATTCCCGCTGACCCTCACAACTCACACTCTTCCATCCACTCAAATCAGACTCGACCGAATGGCAGTCCTCCACTTCCTCCGTGCAGGTGCGCGTCGAGAAATGGGTGACGCATCATCATGCCGTGAATCAGTCTCATGGCTTGTATCCAGATCCGAAGTAATAGTCCTCGAGAAACAAACACTACCCTTTGCACTGTTCGAATTAGCTGTCGTCATGTACGAGGATGGAGATATCAAAGCTGCCAAATCCTCATTGGTTGGTATTAGAGATGGGTTTACCGATGGGTATGATTTCTCAAAGCAGCTGGACACCAAGATACATTTGTCGTTGGTTAGGATTGATGAGAGGATTAAGAAGCTGGAGGAATGAGTGTTAGAGATGTAGAGGAGGAGCGGTGGTGGTAGATACAATAGATAGAAAGAGGATAAGATATAAGGATAGAAAAGTAGAAAGTCATTTTTATATACTCAAATCATCACAACATCATAATAAAATTAAAAAGAAATGTCCAAACATATTTCGGTAATGTTTTGGTACCGAGAACTGTCTCCGAACAGACAGGGCAGACTGGTCAAGGCTGCCAAAAAAAGGGATCTCAGAATCCAGTTGGATGACAGACGTGACTTTTTGCAGATTGTAGGTCTGCTTCCCAACACCGATTCAGATCTCCCTCAAGGCCACCAACAAACAAATGTAGCATCGGTGAAAGTACAACGAAATTGCAGGCCCTTTGGCAAGTGCAGTCACCGAAGTTTAGATTAAGAGAAGTACAGTGACACCACACAGAAACACCACAATTCCCTAACATATCGAGACATTCGTCTTCGGTGATCAGTGTGCAGTTGCAAAGTCACAACAACCAAGAGATCTGGAGCTTTAACTATGAACTAGAATCAAGCCGGAGTTCCTGCCTTCAAACTGCATAACTAAAGCAAGGTAGCGTGCACCAAAATATAGATATCAATTATTTCTACTTGTTCCTTCGCATTTAAGACTCCCACGAGAGAGGAACACGAGTTTGCGTCCATTGAAAACGATTTTGAACTGAAGAAGGGACATTTGAACGATGTTTTTCAGACCATAATCTTCAGGACCTTTCACCTCAAATGATGCTCGCAGTTTAAGCCCTTTTTGTTACCGCATGCTAGCCAGTGACGCCAGGACATATATTTCACCAGTGGTACAAGGTGCAAATACAGAATCTCGACGTACAGCCAGTTTTGGCCCGCAAAACCAAGGCTAAACCGTATTCACAAACCTTTTGATAATACATGGAGCGGGTTAGAGGTAGTATTTTTTGTATCGGAAGGCCTAAATTGGGTTTAAAGCTTAAATATTAACAAAGCTTCAGCGATACGCCACTTCAACAGTCCCTTGATCTCTCTTTCCAGATCAGTTATAGGACTTCCACGACGGTTACTTTGAAAGGGCACCTAGGAGGTGGTACGTCTAAATTTGTCGCCGCTTGCAAACGATGTGTTCTCATACTCGTCATACTCAGTGAACTCATGACCTGACGCACGAGAACTTTCATTGACGCACGAGGACTTTATTGTCGTTACATTTTCTCCCAATGTGGCATATACATATAATGTACCATACGGTCGGTATATGTGTGCGTACTAAATGCGTGTGAAAAATCTCAAGTCCAGCACCAAGCAAGGAGGTTTTTTTGTAAGCAGATTGACGATTGGCAAATCCTTGAATCCAACTGAGGTTTGATTCATAATTCTCATGATTGGCAAGAGCCAATGAAAATGGGGCAGTTGTAGGGTTAAAAACCGAGTGGGGGGTTGATCACCCCCAATTATTGGTTTCAACCACTCGGCTGATAAGAACTCGCTTTTCGTCATAGACATCTCAGAAGGACGTCCAAACCTACTTTTGTGGCACCTGGCTAACAAACTACAACATTATTGCCGTTCGGGCCGTTTATTTTCAGACACAATATCGACTTACATTGAGTGTCGCTGGAAAACCCGCAATGGAGGCCGAAAAGCGACAATGTATGTGAATATTTGCATGAATGTTTACTCTCCCGTTTCTACTGACGTTGATCGTAGTACTATTGTTTATGATGACCAAACTGCAAGAAAATGGTGGACGGATGAATGCATCGGCACTGACTATAGCTATTTTGGAAAGATTCAATACAAAGGACTATAAAAAGTTTGGGGCTCCAAAGTTCAAGAATTTAATGGAAATGGAACCTTTCTGCATACACGTAAGGGCCAAACAAAAGCTTTTAAATTGCCACTTTCTCACTCAGTTTCTTCTAAAGTTTGTGTGGGAGTCGACGTTAATTCTCAAGCTGAAAACCCGATCACCGCCTTCCATTCAAAGCGGATCTACACAAGGTGTGTGCCCTTCCTTGCATTCTCATACATTTAGTCCAAACAAGACTTCGTAGGACCGCCCATCGCACCACAAGCAATTCAGGCACCTGGAAACAATGTCAGAGACACTATTGTAGAGACGCCTTCTATTCCAACTCTCAGTCTTAAGTTACAGAAGCTATTGTCGGCAGCAGTTCAAACAACACCTGGCCTGTCGTTAACTGAACTAATCAAGCAGAACCAGAAGCTAAAGCCCATCTATTTCATCGCAAGACATCCAGGACACTCTCCTCTTGACATTGTTCGCCAATATCCGCAGCTCGTCACGGTGAATGTTGAAGGACATAAGAAGTTGCTATATCCACCATCATTCGCAAACAACGCCACCACGGCGCAGCTACCACCTAGTCGACACCCGGCGCCTCAGCAATTGGCACGTCCTAAGATAACGAAGGTTTCCTCATCCGCTACAACATTTCTAGTTGACGATATTGCAAGTACGTCTATGGATTTGCTTGTTATTTCCTATTAGCTCTTACCAGCTTTCGTTTTCCGATAATGTGTAGGTTCTGAAAAAGCATATCTTGAATTACAACAGCGCCGACGACTAGCTGTTGACTGTGAAGGTGTAAATCTTGGTAAAGACGGTCGACTGACAGTCGTTCAAGTAGCAACAGAACTCAGTGAGGTGTACATAGTCGATGTTATTGGATTGTTGGGGGTACAAAATGGATCTGAAGCGCTTGCAAAATTGATGGCTCTTGTCTTTTGTGACAAAGATAGAGTTGTAGTAATGCATGATTGTCGACGGGATGCTGAAGCTCTCTACCACCAGTACCAAATTCATATACAGAACGTAATGGATACACAAGTGCTCTACGGTACGCTTCAAAGTATTCAGGGAGCCTTGGGCAAGACCAAACGTTCTTTTGATTTATACCGAATCGGACTCAACAAACTCCTGTCCATTTCAAACCTTTCCGAAAACAGTCAAAAAGAGAGGATAGTGGCCGAAATGGAAGAAGACGTAACTTTTTGGGAGAGACGGTAAGGAGTCTCGTGCCTCGCCGCTACATCTTATAGCTTTTCTAACTTGATTCATTTTAGCCCTTTAACGGATGAGATGATTTCATATGCAGCAAGTGACGTTACTGAGCTGCTTTCCCTCGAATCGTGGCTTCAGTCAACCATATCAGAGACGGTCGAACGATCTATACGCGCTCTTAGTAACGCAAACATGCAGTGGTTTATTGGGTCTTCCAACCACTCCAACAACTCATTATTATCACTCGATTTAAAGCACAAACTCACCATCAGCCGACCAGATCACGTGGCCTCGTATGCGCCAGTGGGCGAAGACGACTTTTCTGAAAACCTCGGAGTAGCGGCAGCAAAGCCAATGGATGACGAAGATTTAAGCTTGTTATTCGCTGTATTGCCTGAGTCACTTCGTCATCTGATTGTTTTCGCAATCACAAAAGTAACGCCAGCTCTGGAAGAAATCTTGCTAAGCTGCTATCGTTTACCAGTTCTTCGGTACGAAGACAGCACTGAAATGGATTTGGAATCCATTACAATATCACCTGAGGACGTTCGTGAAGCGGTGCACTATTTGTGTGGTGGCCTAAGCCAGGACAAAGTCTTCACAAGTGATAATAGGGCGGGTCTGCCTGGTACCCTCCACCGCATAAGTGCGACCCGGGATCGCTTTGGTGACATTGTTGCTCTTACTTATCGAGTTGGTCGACATGTGCCAGGGGCTAGCGAAATGATTCGAGACATAGTAGCACGTGTTGGACCGACACATTCTCTACTTCTTCTTGGTCCGCCAGGTTCTGGCAAAACTACGGGTTTACGTGATATAATCCGCTTCCTTGCTAATGAATTGAGAAAACGAGTCGTTGTAGTGGTAAGGCTATTGTTTATTACATTGGCAGCTCTACTTAATATCCAGCTCTGTAGGATACGTCAAACGAGATTGCTGGGTCTCATTCAAAACCACATGCCTGCATTGGACGCGCTCATCGAATGCAGGTAGACCATCGTAGGCATCAACATGAGATCCTGATCGAGGCAGTGCAAAATCAAAATCCTCAAGTGATTGTAATTGATGAAATTGGTACTGTTGCTGAAGTCGCATCTGCAAGAACAGTTGCACAACGTGGTATTGGAATGGTAGGGATGGAGGTGCAACTTCATGAAGGACATTGTTTGACGGTAATTGATCATTTCTAGGTCGCAACGGCACACGGCACCTCTGTTCAGAACGTGCTGAAAAATCCAACTTTACGACCGTTACTTGGTGGTGTACAAGCAGTCATACTCGGCGACAAGGAATCACTACGGCGTGGCACAAGCAACCCCAAGAAACTGCCAGTCCACAAAACTCAATTAGAGCGTGCGGGGGAACCCACTTTCGGCATCGTTGTAGAGGTCATCCAACGCAATAGATGGCGAATTTACGCTAACGTAAGCAATACGATTGATGAAATGTTAGTGGGAAATGATCCTATCATTGAAGAACGATGGATGGTATGTTTGAGCTTGATAATATAGTCCGCCTTTTATTAATTCAGTTTTTACACAGGACGACACTGGAAATATTTTTTCAAAGTTTGTACGTCTGGAAACTTTGGCGTCGGCAAAATCACCGGAACCTGTAATAACCGATCACAACCGTAATAACTGGTTTGACGAATTACGAAACTCGCTCGACTAAAGCTATTTTTACATATTAAAACATGTAAAAAAGTGAAAGCCTAGCTGCAGTCGAAAGGAACGTTGTGTTTCGTCTGGTTTATGTAACAGAAAAGTCAGGAATAGGTGAGTCTTACTGATATATGTTACATTTTATGTCAAGTAGGCCATTTCTTCCAAAGTTCGTAGTTTTACACGCTGTTGGAACTTCAGCCTCCATGTCCATCGCCAAGCCCTTGTGCCTTTTGAACATAGCAAGATAACATGTCTGCAAACGTAGCTACTCCCTTCACCCTCATTTCAACTCTTTCCCTAAGGTCTTTGCTACACAATCTCTCAAGGAGTAAACCCGTTTGATCTGATGTCTGAAATAGAAGAAGCAGACAGTAGTAGCATTCGGAAAACAAAAGGCAGAGGAGAAAGACTCATAGAGGTCATGGCGGTCGTACACAGTGGACATTTGATGAACAAAGATCGGCATCGAATCATAATGCAGCACCCAACGTGATGGTAATGGTATCCATAGTATTGACAACAGTAATAGTAGTGCCAAGGGTCGTGCTAGTGGAAAACCTTCTGGACGTGGTCCTAGACAAGTACGAGCTGGTGCTCGTTTAACAGGACGCCGAGGTGCTGCAAATGGTAGTAAAAGCAACTTGGACTCTACCTACTATTGATACACACGACAGAGTGATTCTACGTCAATGACCAGTATGCTCACTAGAGAGTCTAATGGTAAAAAATCTTGGAAGTCTTGGAATGATCCTACTGATGAAGACGAGGAGGAAGATACGGCTCAGTCATCTCCACCGTCATTGATACGAGACCAAGGACTCACTCGAGAGCAACGAGGTGGGCTGGGAATATTCATACGAGGATACGTCAAAGCAATTACGTCCAGTCAGCCATCACCCGATACAATGGCCGATAGTAGTTTCGAGTCCGTTCACAACAGTGTGAAGAAAGAGGCACCTGTCCGATCTCGAGAAAGGACACTGATGGAGGTCATCAATACAGAATTGAGGCTTATTGAAAGGCAAAATCCAAATCCTTCGCGTGGACTTCTGCTGTTGCTGGAAGGCTGGGCCGAATTTCTTCGTTATTGGACTGGCGTTACGGAAGACTTTCAGTCATCTATGCCTAAAGGATCCAAGAAAGGTGCCAAGTAGACAACCTAGCAATCCTATAATCCTATAAAATCATTAGCCTGTGGTTCGATACTGGTGTCTACCACGGTTAGATAGAACGACAATTATAATAATTTATCATCGGTAAGAATAAAGAAGCATAATGAAGATAGAAATGTTGAAAAACAATTTGTGTTGCGGTTGGCAGAAAACCTTCTCCAAAAATTTGAAAGGTTTCTGGAGCATCCTTAGTCAACGACACAAGCGAGGGTAGCAAGGCTCATCTTCCACAGGACACAGAGATGTCTCATACACTACTGGGATCTTTTTGTCTTGGTCTCGCTTGTCGTTTTTTGGCTGTTTCCAATTTCCAAGTTTCTCAGTTTGAGACAATGATTCAAGCACTGGCAATGCAGGCATTAATTTTGGAAGTTATTGAAACTCAAGCAAAGATAGTGTTAAATTACTGGATCGTGGACCGATCGCCTATTGCAAACATGTAGAAATTCCCAAAGCATCAAAATCGTGTGTTTGTGACTTTTGCTGATCTAATAGCAACTGTACCGTTTAAGAGGTATCAAAATGATTTGCAATGAGTGAACATACTGATACGATATTGCTACTCTAGTTTGAGACACGTCAATAAGTGTTTGGACTTAGTCGGCTCTAAGGGCGATATTGCCTCTGTGAAGAGTAGCACCATCTCCTTCTCCTGATTTTTGCTACTTCAGCTGCTTCTGCAATTGCTTCGTTCCAGAGGTGTATGAAGCCTTGTGAAGGTCACAGCTTTAGTCGAGGAAGGAGAACCACTCACCAAAAGGTACCCAATCATTTTCGGTCAAGTCGGGGCTCTATGGTTACGCAATGCTGCCGTCTAGTCGAAGCACGTCGGATTCAAGCTTGAACGGAAGCTCAACTATGGAGGACATTTTCGTGTTTTCATTGTTTCAAGAGGACCGCCACTAGTTCGACTCTGCGTTTGCTAATGTTCACATCAATATTGCCACGTTGCTATACAAAGCACAGCTGTATCGACGCTGCATTTAGTGGTCGAAGATATCAAACCGCTCTTTTCGAGTGCTGTTGGTGGCATCGAATATTCGTCTCAATACGAAACATAGGAATTAACGAACGAGCTGAGCTTATGTGCTGCTTGGAGCACTTCCGATCGCACGGCACTGCTAAAGGATAGCCATTCAAACAAATACTGACTCTGCAAAAGAGATTGGAACTAGTGAGTTGAATAAAAAAAAATGAATATGCTGAGTGGATATCACTATGTTACCTCAGAGAATGAGGTCTGTTAAATAATGACTTGAGACGAGAGTTTGAAGCGTTTTGTTTTGTGGACGTGGGGCAGAAACGAAGGACCGAAGCGTTGACAGCTGGGTTGGCCATATTGCGTTGCTGTCGCGTTAGGTTCGTTATCTCGGCCTGAGCTGGTACGATGCAAGGTGGTCCATCTTTTTATCTAGAATTGGAAACCTAACTGAACCATGATGCATTTCAGAGTAGAGCAACCGAGTTTCTATTTACACCACCATCAACAAGCATAATGATAAAAATTACAAGAGATCGTGCACAAAAATGCACAAAAAGTTTCCCAGAATGAGGACGCACCACCACCACCTCTCTCTCCTCTGACACACTCTATCAGAATTGAGGCCGACGTTTACGCCCCGTATACTTGGAATCAAGAGCAGTAGCAAGCCCTTTATTCCTCATAGTCTCCTTCTTTTTCAAAATCCACGCCTTATCCTTAACACCAACCCTCTTCTTCCCCTTCCCACCACCATGTCTCCTCTGCCGTTCCATAATCCTCTTGCTCTCAAAAACGGCTTCAGTCGGTTCGTCACCATCTAACCCCTTCGGTAGCTCAGGAGCAGTATGTTCCATGCCACGATACCCCGCCAGCAGACATAAAAAGTATTTCTTTGCACGGGTCGAGTTTGGGTAGTCGACTACCAGACCACCTGTAAATCCACACCGCGTAGCAGCTGTCAGGATCATGTCTATTTGGGAGGGCGATTCAGGGTAGAATTGGAAGATTGCACGGGCGCCGCGTGCGAGGGATGTGTAGAGGGTTGAGAAGAAGCGGGCGAGACGGTTTTTGGGGTTGTGGGAGGACTTGTCGGCGTTGCAGAGCCATTGTAGGACTGATATACTACATGTACGAGGTTGGGATTGAGCCCATGAGTCCATGCGTCCAGACAGAAAAAAAACCGAGCAACGTATCAATGTATCCAACCACAGCATACCTGATCGCACCATCAAAAGCACCCGGTCTAAAACTAACCCCATCTCCAATGTCCGCCAAGAACAAATCCCCCTCTGTATCTCTCTCCTTGGCTACATCCAGCATGGAATCGCTAATATCCATTCCCACCCATATATGACCATCTTCTTCCAGACATTCTCCCGACAAGCCCGAACCACATCCAATATCGAGTAAGTAGCATGACTGGTCGGCTGGGAGTGCTAGTAATTCCATTGCTCGATATGTCATTTCTGCTTGAATTGATTGGATTCGAGTGCTGTTTTGTATGTGTGGTTGTGTGTGAGCAAAAAAAACTGATAGAATATGGTAGTGGATTTTGATGTTTCGATCAATTCGATTCCCACGGGTAATGACAGTAGGAGAAGCAGCACAACACATACTTTGTAGTGTATTTATGAGCTTCGGCCTCGTTATAGTACTATTTTATTAAGGTGTTGGCTCAAAATCAGACAAATTGAAAACACAAAAATGTCGAAAAAAAGAGCACAGCTTGATCAACTTGCGATTTGCTTACGATTTCAGGTGGAGCGGCGTGCTCCGGACGTCCAGACATAGCTAATATGCAGTAATTGTCGTCGTTTTAATAGTAACTAGTGAGCGACCGGTTTGGAGTAAAACCGTCGTTTTCGCAGCTCCAAAAAGCACACACACAAAACACAGCTTTCTTCTTTTCAGTTCAGTAAAAACAACACAAACAAAAACCGTTGCAACGTTCAATTACGCACAATTTACGTTCCCAACGAATTATGTGTATTTTGATAAATATATGAGGTCTCAGATCAGAAAAGGCTACAAGGCTAGTTCATACTTGTTCCATTGTCCAGCCAATGTTTTGTTAGTAGCAGCCTACATGTGCTCAAAGACACGTTTGTCTCGCTTCGGTGTCCATCTTCAAGCATATCTCCCCAATTTGAGTGTCCGTTGTGCAGATCGCTCAATTGACAACGGTTGAAGAGGAGCAAAGACCCTCCTGACAAGTCTAAGATACGTAAAGATGCATATTAATGGAAACATTTCGGGTACGTAGTAACCTCATCGATTGTTGTTCATCAAACAAACCTCGTTTTTGCGACACTAGCAGCAGAAGAGTTGGGAGACGAGTTAGTACTGATGTATATAGAAACACTATTTTTTGACTTCAATAGTACGTACTGCAAAGCGGCACTCCCCACAGTTAGCATTGCTGTTGAAAATATTGGTTTCTGTAGTGATGTTGAGACCAAGCGTCAATGAGTTAAACGTATCATCGTATCGACGTAAGCTTACCACAACCATCTTCAAACTTGTTGTTACAGTTCGCGTATCCTCTGGAGCTTAAAAAAGGCGAACGCTTGTTGAAAAATCTTTACGTCGAATGGTGAAGCATACCAACCAGTCACTTCCATACCATGATGCGATACTACATTGCCCCAGTTCACAGCTGTAGGTATCCACATTCCGGGCATAGCAATGTATTCCGCATCCGTTACAGTTGAGAGGATCAGTGATGATATGCTAGTAAGGCAGCAAAAAAGCTGAGTCAAGAGCAATGGATTGGAATGGGTTTGTGGTGAAGTTCCCTATGAGATAGCCGCTCTCCTTTGGACCATGAGATATGCACAACTTACAGTCTCACAGTCGTAATTCCCTTGACAAGATGCCCATCCCAATAAACACCTCTTCACAACACATGTCCCATTGTCGCATCCACCAACATTGATTTTCCTTGTTGAGTTAGGGGAGCAATGACTACCACATGTTCCGCAGTGCAAGATAGAATCCATTTTCTATAGTGAAACTGGTAGTGAGCAACAAAAAAATCAGCAGGTGACTACGGTTGAAGCATGTTGCTGAACGAGGGTTATCCGCAACCACAGATCTACACCTGTCATGAACCTCGTCACATAAATTGGATCCAAAACATTCTTGAGACTTACAGCTTCACATCCATCCGAAAACACTCCATTACAATCCCCGAATCCTGCTGAGCAACTCCCTATTGAGCATTTGGTACCGTTACATGCTGCAGTAGCCTATCAGGATCCAGGAAAACTGTCAGTGGTCGTGTTTCCACATGATCTATAGCGCCTTTGCCATTGCGTTTAATGCTCTCACATGTGCTGGGTTGAAACATATTTGTTTGCCGCATTTAAGCAGAGCAGATGCTGAGGAAATTAATGAGAGTAGAGCGATGATGCTGAGTATTCCCGCTAGGATATGCATTGGTAGTTGCTATAAGACTCTCTGTACAGGAATATAGGACTCATGAGAAACAGAAAATCTTAAATTTTCAAAGTCCGATGTTACGACTGTGAATATCAGCAGACCCAACTTTAACAAACGAGCTCAACAAGGTCGAAATGTTCTTTAACAAGGCTCTATTAGTAAGAACAACAGACGTTTACTGTGTGATTCAGGTCACATCTATCAGATCAGCCAACAAAACGCCAACGATCAAATTGAATCACATTCTCAGGCGAGCCACCTTACGAAGCGAAGAATCAGCGACTTGGATGTTGACATCGTGCATTTCAATCGACGTTCAGTCCAAAAAACCTTTCACGGATATAAGATATCTCGTTCCAGAAACCATTTTGTGTGTGTCCAAACATGAAAGTCTCGTAAACCCTTGCGGATGAGGATCAATCCTCAACGAAAATGCTTAGATGCTGAATCATCTTGATATTAAATTGCGGTCACTACCATATTGCTATGTTGGTAAACAAAAGTTAAGTCTCGGACCTTCAATTTTTGCACCACACAAAAAAGCAAGTTGAACATCCATATGAAGTTTTCCCGTTTTTCAACAGAACGCGTATAAGGAAGTCGGCATCATCACAATCACACTTCCACAGTCCTAGATCAAACGTTTCATACGATCCTTACCCACCAGAACGACCAATAATTGAAAATTCCTGAAATGTCGGCCATTCTCTGCCACAAAAAGTCGAGACCCAAGTCACGCGTGTTCCACAAGCAAAAAAGGGATTCAAGGGGCTCTGCGAGTGTTCAACTCCTTCCACACTCGCCAACATCCAAACTCTATTATAATCTCTTAATCCACTCCTCGATAACAATCAAACACAATGGGTAGGTTGTCTTGTTGGATGTTGCAACTTGATGTTGATGATGCTTATACTTGATGCATGCTGTTTTTATTCAACCATTTGAGCCTCAAAGGAAGCTAACGGAAACCTTTTTCAAATCTGACATTAGGTCTCGAAGACGAACTTAAAGCTGTTGTCACCGGAATGTTTGCCGCCTTCAGCGCTCAATCTCCCGATATGTGGAATGCTTTCACCTCTGTAAGTTTTGTTGCTGGATGTCAGTCGTTAGTGCAGATGCTCCTGCATCTACCATCATTCTATACTAATTATTCAAACGCCCTTCGTTTCGCGTTTAGCCCGATGTCCCACACACCTTGAAGGGTGTTACTGGCACCAAGGCTGACGGAACCATGCCATACTCCAAGTTCTTGGGCATGCTCGCTGAAGCTGCTGCTGCTGGAAAGGTCAAGAACTTCAAGGTCTCTGTAGAAAAGATGACCGTTGATGTCGCCACCAAGACCGTCACCTGTATCGAACACTCCGAGGATGACGATGCCCGTGGACACCACGTCGACGATGGCAACTTCCAAACCTTCACCTTCAACGATGACAAGAAGGTCGTTTCGGTTACGACAACTGTGAGTAATGTTCTGTGTTTGTTCAGTTTCAACTATGGCTAATTATTCAATTCTTTGAAAGGTCATCCCCGCCAACCTTCCCGACTTCATGGCCATCTGGGGTTAAACAATGCTCGTTTGGAAACCATCCTTTGAACATAGTTTTGATCTCTTGATATAGAATGTCATTAAACCTTTCCTTTTGTGTCTCAACACATATAAGAATATAAAAATTCATATGTCTTGTACATCTATTCACTACTCTCGCTGCCAGAGTTCTAGTTCACCATGTCTCATGAGTTGTGGACGCAAAGTTGAATGTCACCACCAAAACTCGGTTGCAAGCCTCCAAAAATATTGAACTGCCAATGATTCTGATCGTGCAACTATGGCTCTTGCACCCGACTGGATTATTATTGGGAAAGGCTCTTCAGCTCGTGGTGAATTGTCAGTTTAATACTACTACCACATTTTGGGACAAGTAGAGTATGAAGAATGTACGAGCATGACCATTAAGCCATTTCAAAGGGCGAAATTCGAGATCGAATGGTGTCGCTTTGATCCTATAATGTCTTCCGAGTGGGTGCTTTATTCTGCAAGAAACCGTGAGTGAACTACATCCGACAGCAACTAGAGAAACGGACGTTAGGTGCTTCAATTCTTATCTATTGGAAGCACTTCTAAATACCAGTTCAGCATACGGTCGGAAAGAACAAGCTCTCTATATCGGAGGATTTCAAAATCTGAGAACGAATCAGAAATCCCTTTAAACTTATTCTGTTGAAACTTCGGATATTGACAAGCTGGCAATAACTGCTGGTCCCGTGGGTTCAATTTCATCCAATTTATTGGTATTGCTTGGCGCTTGACATCTAAACATTTTGTTGGATTGTGTGCTGAAACGTAAATAAGATGCAGTAAGGACGTTCGGTATTGAGGTTGAGCTTGTAAAATGTTGACCGTTTTGTCTTATAGCCTCGATGAACTATTCGGTGAGATACTTGTCTGCCTTCCTTGATACATTTGATGGTATCAAGAGCATTTGACTCAGACATTCCATGTACTTGTTAAACTAGCATACCAGACACAAAAGGTCCTGAAAGTGCGTGATCGACGTCTCGGAATCTTGAATCTGTTATTCAAGATTGGGATTACAGTCTATGTGTTCTGGAACTTGATTACTTCTGGTTTGTATCTGATCAAAGTAATGACAAGTCAACTGGTTATGAACAAATTGAATGAACACGTTTACTTAAAATTGATCACGAAATAGACGAATCCAATCGGAGGAGCTGTGAGGTTCAATCTTGCTGCTCCACTCAATATCAGTACATATCCGACGCCGAGCTATTGTAATGCTTCCAGTAGTTCTACTAATATTAATTATACGACTAATGGCTGCTTATGGTGGTATGTTAAACGTATCAATGGAAGATAGAATCACTCGTGTCTTTAGTCTACAGCCACACATTTTGGTAGAATTAATATTTTGCTGACTCGCACCACTTCCTTCTCTACTCGCAGGACACCAGAACAAATCGCAATATACGAAGAATCCGCAATCTTCGTCACCACCAAAGTCACAATGTACACCACACCTCCTCCGCCAGCTGGTTGCAACTACCTCCAACCATCATCCATCGCATGCATGCCACCACGACCGAGTTCGCTCACTTTCAAGTCCTACTATATCGCATATGCCGAGAATCATACCCTCCAAATCGACCATAGTGTGCGTGGGATTATTAACGGGAACTTAATTATGCAGGCTACTGTTCCCACTCATCAGGGATCCTCGTGGATTCAAGCCATGACTGGGAAATTGGTTGCTGGATGTAACACTGATGGGAAGGTGCTGCTGACTTTTGATATTAATTCAAGGTTTCTGTTGTGGAATTATATGACAAAGTGAGTTGCAAGTTACGACGTATACCTTACAACCAAACTTTCACATGAGATAGGTCTAACATGTATACCTTTTTTTCTGCACTTCGTGTTAGTCGATGGACTGGTGATTCCATTCCGGTAAGTCACTTCAAAGCAAGAAAACGCAATCAACTCGTCCGCAGCAGCCTCAACCAAGCTGACACATCTCTTATCTTTCAACACACAGATCTCAACACTACTAGACGGATGCAACTGCACGGGTGTCCCGTTACTCCTGGACGCAAACAACACCATGATCAGCGGAAGTTACGGAGAGCCTCTACGATCAACTGGAGTCATTATTTCAATGCCTATTGTCTACACAAACCCAACATACACCATGTCGACCGAAATCGACTATTCGTACATTCCGGCTGCTGTTGATGGAGAACAGTTTTCGATCATGCAGACACAGTATAATACTTCCGATGGCAGTATTACGTATATTGAGCGGAATGGGATTAAGATTTTCGTTGCTCAGGGCGGTGAGATTGTAAGTGATCGTGGGTAGTGTTGGAAGAAACAGGATGCTTCATCAGCTACTTTGATATATTCTTTTTTTCTTATAGGGACAATTTTCGTTCTTACAAACACTCAGTGCTCTAGTCGGAGGAACCGCATTGCTGAGTGTAGCGCAGATATTGGTTGAATGTAAGTTTCGCCTTTCAAAAATAAACCCTTTTGCCACGACAGAAGAATGTTCTATAAACTTTTTCAACCACAAACGTCTAACCATACTTCTTCAACTTGATAGTCATCATGACTAGAATCCTACCAGAACGCAAACTTTACGAAGAGGCCAAAGTCACGAATACCGACCAATTCAAAGAAATTAGACTGAAGCGAAAGGAAATCAGGGAACAAGAACCGATAGCTCATCGAACTCTGATTTTGGGAGAAATGCATGATTGAAGCTTGTTTCCTTATCTTTGTGGATTTCTTTGTCTTCTACGTGTGTGAATATAATCGGTCAAGAAGGATTTAGCTTTGTTGTTGGAGTCGGTCAAGTGATAGTGTAAATGCCTTTCCTTTTGCTAACTCGTTTGAACGATTTGTGCTGAGAAGTTGCATCGTCGAATGAACACTGAGTAATAATGGTGTTATCTGGTGAGTGGGAGTTATCAGCTCGTGAGAGAAGAAGAGATTGAAAATTGAGACACACAAAAAACGACGCTGCTTAAAGAAGTGTTAAGGATGGTCTTGCTTAGCTTGTTGAGAAAGCTTTGCATAAATGAATAATTCGTGAATCGGGTGATTCTTGAATGAAAATCAATCTGACCTGTTTCGCCCTCTTATAACCTTCAAAATCACCTCACGTGTGGACTGGGACCTTACAGAGATTGTATGACTGCCTTCTTAGACACGCAATCCCTTTTCCAAGTTCATATTGGTAGGCTTGTCAACCTAACAGAACCGTCGACGTGGTGATGCAACGACGTCAGTGAATCAGGCACCAGCATTTTTGTTGCTGCTGGATTGGAACCACTCTAGCAATGTTTTCGTTGATGTTACCTTTCTACGAATTCAACATTAAACCGACGTAGACATCCTCAATTGGAAGGAGCTGGCGATTGAATTTTGCTGAACATCACCATTTGTCATACAATGGTTGACGGTGCTGAGTGTGGGGCCAATGGTTATTTCTGATGGAGAGTGACATTTTCGAGGTAAATCGTCTTGTTTTTTGGGTCTGAATCTAAACATTCATAATTTCCTTCTTGCTGATTCTTGTCCAGATCTTCAGAACACAAGACCGATCACAATGTACCACGAATATGCTTTGATCGTGACTGGCAAAGCCGTTGGTTGCAACTACTTTGAAGATTCATCTATCGCAAGCATGCCACCACGAACAGCTTCACTGAAGGTCAAATCCTGATTTAACACGCATGCTGAAAACCAATACCTCGACAAATTCCCCACAGTGTGCGTCAGATCATTTATTGACTGGAGTGTCCTTATGCGGGCTACTTTTCCTACTCATTGGAGGATTCGTGGTAGGCATGTTGCTGGCTGTTATACTTATGGGAAAGTGCTGCTATCTCATGATCGAGGCTTGCGTTGTGAAACTATATAACAAAGTGAATGAGCCGGTGTAACAAGGATTCTCAATTTTTCACCGAAACGAGATCCTAGCGTGTTGACTTTGCTTCCCTTTTCCAGTCGACGGGCTGGTGATTCTATTCCAGTAATACCATCAAAGCAAAAAACCCAGAACATAGTCGGCAGTTAGGATGCTAGTGATTTGCACAGTGTGCCTCTCAAACCACATGCGAATTACGGACGATGTATGAGACGGGAAGAGAGTCGTGTATTCTGTGAGTTTCGAACTGTGTTCAGTTGAATGCAAGGACTGCACAAAGCGTATGGATGATGATCTTTTTAAGAATTTTTGGTGTCACTTGCATTTCTCATCCCTCTTTTTCTAGGTCTCTGTCTTCCATGGGAGCCAAAGGTTTCTGAGTGTTTAACTGACCTTTCTTTGTTGTAGCCTACAAGACAAGTATCTGCTTGACCGATACTTGAAAAGCTGCTATACCTATTGTTGCTAAAAATTCAAGATTCGATGCTCTTCTTTATAATGGTCTTGTCAAGATTAGGAGGCTTCGTTTCCTTGATTTGGGGACAGTTTGTTTGGTATTGCTACAGAACAAACCTGTCAGAAGTTTGGTAACAAGAATCCTGCAAGTGCTTACATTGGAGGGAGAGGCTTGAAGTTTTATACTTTGTCTGCAATTGTCGTTTATCATTTGGAGCGTTTATACACGCTTCTTTCACTCTTCCAAAGTATCGCAATGGCTGAACAATAAAATGTACTGTGTGTAGCTTGGGTCGTCTATTGTTTCTCCTTCTCTATACAGACTGGTATGAAATTCTCTAAACTTATTGAAGATGCCAGAAACTCCTCATAATCCTCCACAGAAAAGCGACTTGTAACAAGCACCTTAAACTCTGGATTCGGAATCAATATAGGTGGCAACGAGTACGTATCAACATCTTCCGGTCTCACACACGGCGAGTACATAACTTCATTCCTCATCAGCGTCCTGCCACCTTTCTCAAAGATACACAAAGGAAGACACGTCGGATCATAGTATTTCGTAAACATGGGTGCAGAGTTGCTTAGCGTGAAACACATCGTATTCCCGTATTTTAGAAGAGAAGGAATCAGCATGGATCGCAAGGTTTCTTTGACTTCGGGAAGCGTTAATGTCTTTTGTACTTCGACTTTTAGCATGTACATTTTCATGTCGAGAGTTATGCATCCTGTTGCATATGTGAAGAAGGTATCGACACGGCCAGTTTCGTCGAGGATTAGTGGCGTGTATTCACCGTGCAAATAGATTGCCTCTAGAGCCGATGGGAGGTCTGCAATTGGGATTGTCATGATATCACGGTTTTTGATAACGTATTTGGGTGCAGGTGGTTGTGGCGGAGTTGCTACTTGTTCTCGTGCTGATACTCGGATTTCTTGCTTATCTGGCGGAGTAGTAGTTACAGTGTCATTCGTCTTATTAGTGGGTTTTGATGGAGAAGATTTTTTGATTTGCGTCGTTTTTGTTGCTGCTTTTTCAGGAGCGATTTTAGAAGGTTTGGTGATAGGATTACGGGTATTGGTCAAGGTTTTCTTCATGTCAACAATTTTGAATAAAATGACAGACTTTGACTAGCAATCCAAAGGTCTTGTTTGTTCTCAAGTTCAAAGTACAGCGACAAAAGGTCTCAGATTTAAGGGTCATCTAAACTGATCTCGATTCAAGGCCACGTAAATTATGCAGGTAGAACTCTTTTCGAAGCTACAACCATTGAAGGAAAAATCATGATCACCTTTCAGCAAGTGCTCTCGGTGTGTCAAACAACAAGAATGTACTGATTTGTGATAAGCTTTAGCGAATTCAACTACGGACCTTGCTGCTATGCTGAAAGGAACATACCACATGTTCCAAACATGATATTATATGTAAATCTGTACAATGCCGAAATCTTTGTGATTCCATTTCAAGCAGCAACCTCCAACAACGCGCCTTCTAAACCTGCAATGGGGCCGTGAGAGATTATATTCGTTTTTATGTGCTCAATGGCGTACTATGGAAGCATAAAAAGCTAAAAATAAAGAAAAAATGGGTACTACGGAACAACCTGTACACGGCGTACAATTGCGAAGTTCAATGCCAAAAGTCAAGATTCATACATGTCGACTGCTGAATCCGGACGAGGAGTGCTGTTGCAGCCTTCAAGACAATCTCCATCCATGTATCAGTCTCACTGAACATGTTTGGTATAGTCGGTGGTGTATTGAACTCTAGGGCCATTATTGCTCTTTCTCTTTCTTTACTCTGTTACTACGGGTTTGGCTGATTTTTTGGAATGAAGAAAAAGTACACCGCAAACTTGAGGTGACAACCGGTGCCTCCAAACACAATGAAAACACTTTCAATCCAATATTTGGCATTTTTCCTATCTATTTTGGGTCTTTATTACGTCAAAATGATACTGGAAACACGCTCTATTTCGCAGAATTTCGAAAATCGAATTTTTCAATTTTTCACTCTCGAAGCTGGATTTTGAATTGATTTGTTTTATGCGGTCGCTGCCTGGCTTCAAGGATGAAGCAAGGCAGGAACTAGATGGGATGGATGGCGCGTATCAGTGCTATATGCTTACAAGCTCACTTCGCCTCAGTGGCTGCTAACGCCTTAAATTGTATCCTTTGTTACCACAGCTGTCGAGGGTGGTCGGTTGAGGTCCAAATTTTTATGCCCTCCACGTTGCTGCAGACGCGGACTAGATTAGGAAGGTTTGATCAGTGCCCTACGCAGCATTACTCTATCAGCTTTTTTGTCACGGAATTCCCTGCACAAAAATCAACATTCTTAGAGGTACCTAACCTCAGAAACTAAAGGGCTCGTGGGACTGCTTGGCAGGCTTAACAGGCACTTTATATAATGGTAAATCGTCTTGTCACATAAGTGCGTAAGCTCTGTTGCTGTTTTATGAAGCCTTGGACCAACGCGTCAAACATCATTTTTTCTACCTGTCCGAATGCCAAAAGAAATCGGAACACATATAGAACAATCAGCTTCTATGATATGGAGGATGGATATTCTCTCTCTTTTGGAAGATCGGAAGCATCATATTAGTGATTGATTGATTTACATCGCAAAATGTCAAAACTTCCCTTCTGATCACGACTTCCTTTTGCAGTCACCTGTATTTGGGCCTCACGAATTGCCCTTCAGAGTAATTCTTCGTCCGAAACAAGTCTGTAATCTTTAACCAAACGTCAATGGAACCGTAAGTTTATGCTCTGTGTTGAACCGAAAGCTTCGTGTTTTTGACAGCTGTCACCCATTCATTAGACAGATTTGGATTGGTGAGGACTCCATTATCACTGATCAGACTTTATCAGGCATGAACCAGTCTCTCTTCTTGGAGCCTCAATCAACTTTCACTCTAATGCGAAGCAAACGCAGCCCGTCATTGCCTCTCTTGGCGTTGAAATTCTGGACAAGATTGGCGGTGTCTCAATCAAGGGGGGCTCACAACTTAATCCTTTGTGGTGCGACTTTTTACGAGTATAGTCAGGCGAAACAATCCAGGCTGACCAAACACGCATGTGAATGACTCTGCCTAACCCTTGGGCCGATTCAGGTACATTCTTCTGTCGTTGTTCTGTGTTTTATAAAGCAGCTAATGATCAACATTCTAGTTCCAGTATGACTACATAAACTTCAAGATGATGACGTGCTGACATGGAAGTTAGCCATTACAATCCAAAACTATACTCCCACGATTAATCATGCTCCCAGAACATCGATTTAAGATCTTTGTTGTGTGGATGTCTTGGCAGAAGTCGATATTGAAGTTGTCGAGGAGGATGGCACCGTAGAAACCATTCCGCCCCACAGCTTGATATTGAGAAACGTATCGCTCGTGTTTCGTAACGTAAGTATACGACAGGATGCTCAACATACTGAAACAGGTCTCGACCAGTCAAAACGCTCTCGTTGTAGAATCAAGGCTGAATCTTCTAGTGCATGTATGAAGGCGGTCTTGGGCCATGTCTATGGAAAGGGTAGTTTGGAATGGATGGTTGCCAAGATTGACCATCCTGAGGAAGTCAAAGATATGTGGTTGATATGAGGTGTAAAATGTGGGTTTGTGAAAATTGAGTTTGTGTCGGCGCAAGTTTGCAATACAAAATAGGACATGTAATCAAACTCGCGTCCGCGGCGATGAAATTTTGCTGAAATTGTTAAAAACTACTTATCGTCTCAACGTCAACCAAACTCGAAAGTGGGCGCAAATATGTTGGACTGAGCAGCGATTCAACAGATTTTCATACTCAGAGGTATCAGATTGGCAGCAACCTAGTAACTTCAACTTTGAAATGCCTCATTAGACTAACTTCTTCAAATCTGGTTTGCAGAAGCACATCAAGACTTTGAACCGTCAAACATCGGCATCTTCGGATTAATTAGTCGGTCCGATGGATTTAATTGATGTATCATGGAAGAAGAATGCATCCTTTCGGCTGCCGCTAGATGTCCTCTTGGTGATATTCGACGAAATCAACCTTATGGAGGACAAGAAGGAACGAATTCAATCCCTGCTCAACTTGGCGCTAGTCAGCCAAGGATTCAATCGACTAGCTTGTCGCATGATATACAGTATCGATCTGAACCTCTGTCATTACAAATGGGAAGCGGCGCCAATGGTAGAAGCCTTTGGTAAAAGTCTGGTATATTTTAGAGACCGATACTTTGACCATTACCACCAAAACGCTCTGGAGTACATAAAGACACTGAAAGTCGGGAGTAACACTCTAGAATGGCTTGGCAGTCTGGAAGATCTGCCGGCATTGACAGCACTTCAAGTTGTGTTTCAAGATTGGACGAGGCCACCACCAATCTCGAAATGGGATTTGCCAACCGGGTTGTTGAAGCTGGATATAGACTTTGACGGTATTGACAAGTCGGCGTATAAGTGGGATTTAGTAGCCAAACGATGTCCCAAGCTCAGCATTCTGAACGTGCACAGGGCTACGCCAAAGACTCTGGCCAAGATGGCAGCTATGGTCTCTATGCTAAGCTTATCAGAGTTCGCGGCCAGTACACAGTCATATAACACATTACCAGCATTGGAACCTGGTATTCTGACCAGTCTGACCCACAAAAGCAGCAAAACTCTGAACAAGTTAGGAGCAGAATCGTATAGTATGGCTTCCTTCACACCTGCATTACTTACGAAGCTGGAGGCTCTATCTGAGATTGAGCTTCGACATGAACCTGATCGTGATCAGGTCCAAGTATCAGATGAATTAAACATAGATCAGCTAGACGCTTTACCAAAGAGTATCCGCTCATTCGTCTACCGTGCTGATGGAAAGCCTTTAAATATTACTGATTTCCTTATCGCCCACTCGACAACGCTCGATAAACTGGTAATACAGGGACAGTCCCCAATGATTGATCGGCCTATACTCAGTCAATGCATAAGGCTGACGCACCTAGATATATCAGAAGAAAATGCCAGACGTGGAGACCTGAAAAGTTTGATGAGAAACCACGGTCATCAACTACATACCCTGTATATAGATGGCGATGTAAAGGACAATGGACTGCTTGCTGCTATCATACGTGACTGCCCCAGTTTATGTGTCTTTGGAATGCATGAACGGACAATACTCAGCAGTGCGATGCTCTCCGATGTGATTGTCAGTATGCCGAAACTGCGACGTCTACATACAGACGGACGACCTTACCCGTATAACAGGCGTTATACTGGTGGTGTGTTGCTGAAGGCCATTGTAGAAAGAGGCAAGATGATGCCAAAGCGAGCATCTCTGTTGATTGAGGGGGGTACAATCGAGTTGTCTCAAGACGATATTGAAGGAACCTTAGGCGAATCCGAAAAGGTGGTGGAGAGCAATTTTCATAGCAACCTCGATTATAGTGAGGCTCTCACCAAGAAACTTGTAGAGTTCGCTAGACCTCTGGCGATCTTTAAAGATGTTTCGGTGCATGCAATAGCATAGCAGGCCTTAGGTGAAGAGGAGGTGAGACTGTGAGAGGTACGTCAAGCATTGGCTTGACTTTTGTGGCATTCTTTAACAATGTGAATTAACACACTGTCGTTTACATAGTTATAAGTTGATGTTGTGGTTGTGTCTGTGGGAGATGGAATAAGGTAGCACTTTGGACCCCTCGTGTTGGAAGTGGCAATTTAGTTACAATAGCCATGTGGGTTTGCCAGCATTTTTAATATCTTAGAATCATCTGAAATACACTTAACTTTTCGGTGATGCAAGTGTTCACAATGTTAGATCATCGCTCGTGGAGCTTTTAGGCGTCGCAAGTTTTAACACTTTCGATTGCGACAAGTTTACAACGTGTTTGCCACGTACGAAGAGACGGGAAGGCTTCAAAATATCCAAGAAACAAGATCCAATACCGTTGTCCTCCATGCGGGATGCAACACTAATTATATTGTCTAGCAAAGCTCAAACAACACCTTTTAAACTATAGAAGGAGGATCTAGCACCTAATAGAATACTTTGAAGATATCATTCATACAGCCCTTTGAGCCCCGTCGTCTATAAGATTCCACATGTTTGAAGAGACATTTTGAGTCCTGTCAGCTCTATTTGACCAAAGACCAATCACATTTACGGTATCAATAGCATTGAAGTAATGGAGTTTTATGAGGTGAACTTCGAACAAGATGCTATTAGATTGCCAGACGAAATACGCCTTATGATAATCGACAGCATCGGCTGCTGAATCTGGCTCTCGTGTGTAAAGGCTTCAATCAGATCGCGTGCAGTAGACTGTATAGAGACGTACCATTGTGGGAAGCGAATGACGAACGCATTCAGAACGAGCTTGAACATCATCAGAAGGCGTAAAACAGGTCTATATAAGCAGGAAAGCCTTTGTAATATCAATACAGTAGCTACAGTGATGGACGCATACCTGAACAAGCGATCTCTAGTGTCTTGAAGTGTTTTCTAGTCCCAAATATGTTGGGATTGATTGCAGGAATGGGTGTGAGGGGAATGAGAATCTAGGAATGTTAATTACTGTGAAATTCAAATTCCGTCTCGTCAAAACATCATTGCGGCAGGTTCAAAGACGTGATATAAAGAAATCAGCCTTGCATAAGCATAATTACATTGTACCAAATAAAACACGTCGAAACGAGCCAGAATTAACGCAGTCCTAGTCCGTTCTTATCACTTGATACAAACATTGGAATTTCAATTCACCAGGAAAGGCTACTTTAAAAGCATCTACCCTACAGTATCACGTTTTGACTGCCCAGTTGGATATTACTACCTCTTTTGTATGTGGCCAGTCATTGAAATCTTGCGCTTGAAACGAGAAAATTTTGCAGTTTACATGAATTCATTTGAGTGCCGCACTTTAGGTTTTCGGATTGAAGAATTGGAATCTAAAGGTAGCGGTAGTATAATGATCAGTTTTTGGCATTGCATGTGGTAAGGCAAGTTGCTGAAATCAACATTGCAGCCTTCCCATAATGCCCACATTTCAATGAGGACAGTTCGCGTTTGATCAATGCTGGACGATGATGATACTTTGGGAAGCTTAGATTCTCAAATTTATCTCTGTCTCATTATTTCAGGACCATCAATCATCTTGTTGTCACTCCCTCACATCACTCTCGACATGTCAACATACAATTCACCTCCTCCTCAAACGTTCGGCGCTCTGACGCTGAATCCAACATTTAAACCACAATCATCGCAATACCCTTCAAACTTCCCATCGCTCTCCATACCGATAGAACTAGCAGCTCCAGAACCCTCAGAAAGCTTGGAAACGTCATTAGAGTTCAAATATGTAGTCGCTGATACGGTAGAACTCATAAATACGATACGAAATCGACCACCGATAACTGATGAAGGTCAACTTGCCTACTATATGCATGTGACGTTACGATGGTATCTATTCAAGCATCCAAGTCCATCAAAATACGTTGTAGTTTGGCTCAAGACGCATATCAGAATGCTGGCTCTTTCATCTTTACATCCGGTAACATGAGTATCGTGGTTTGAAGCAGCTAGTGTAAATTTTCTTACTGGACTTCTTTTTACCAACATCCATTCAAGGTTTCTGAAGATGCATTCAAAGCTATACGTACTCAATGGGAGGTTATTGAAACAAAGTGCGAGGCAGATAAACAACAGCATGGAGAGCTATCAGTGAATGAGAAATCTCAGTATCTGACTTATGGAGTCCTGAACGCTCGAGAGTTGTTTCCAACGTCTACTCGTACTATGGATGTATTTGAAACTTTTGGCACTCGTGTGATGCAGCATATGGTGTTATCGCAGCAAGTACCGGTGACAGTGGAAGGTAAAACTCGAGAGGGGGATGATTCTAAATGAGAAACATACGCTCACAACTTGGGTTGCTTAGTTGCCGATGTAATACTAGACAGGATACGAACTATTACGAACTCCACACACAAAGTACAAATCACCGGAGCTAGACGCCGTGGCCTAGACTACTCTGCGTTTGTTGATGTGATACTCTTTCAACACGCACCACATACAACCATTCAGCAGGTCGTAGAACAGTTTGCTGCACATGGCCTGCTATCCACAGCAGCCGAGAATCCAACGGAGATCGTTTCTCAGAATCGAGCAATGTGTCTGGTACAAGTCCAGTGTCAAGATGTAATGGCTCAAGTCATGTAAAGACATTCTAAATTTTTTTTGTGGTACCGCCAAGAGTGTAATACTGAAGTTTCTTACCGCCGTCGTCTAGTGTGGACATCAAAATCGCAACAAGATCCACCTTGCCATTCTTGATGTTTTACTTCACTGGATCTGCTGCCTATGTCGAAAGGATGGTGATGAGAGCTGCCAAGATGGGATTCAAATTGCGTCCTGATCATGCTCTGGAGGATGGGATGATCGTAGAGGTTGATTCTGAAAGGTAATTGGTGTAGTCAATCACGATAAAGACGTGCTGAATTGTCCCAACATTCTCTTTTTGCATTGGTCCCTTCTAGAGAAATATTCTCGAGAATACTTAATCTCAAATACGAGGAACCATCCACACGATCCTGCTAAGCATGTCAAAATAAACTCAAGGTATGTCACCTGTCAACAACTTTTGAGAGTGTAAATCTTCACTCACACAAACTCTCACCAACTTTTTACCACAGTCTCATTACTTGCCATATTCATACAATGCACTCAATACTATACCTCATCCTATTCCCCATCACAAACTTTGCCCTCGCACAAGATGAGCAACAAGAAGTATACGATACCTGCAACTGCTACTGCTGCCCATCATCATGCACATCAGGTACCATGCCTCCAAAAGCGGGAAATTATTCTATTGTGAATAATGATATTACGTTGTGCTCTGCTGGGTTATGTAATGTTCGTGCGTATTTTGTCTTTTCTGTTGACTTTTTTTGGCTGTATGAGAGCTGACGAGAGTGTTACGTTTACATATTGTAGACTTCCCAAACGAATGCCCAAACATCTTGCAAAATCGGATGGCCATTGTACGTACAAACATGACTTGTGAATCTTGTGTTGTGAATAATAGTAGGGGACACGATTCGTCTTCAACTGGTACAGGATCATCACCATCATCAACTACTACGAATAGTGCTAAATCTGAGGGCCTGAAGTTACATGTATATTGGGCTACTGGTGGACTTGGACTTGTTGTATTGTCTTGGTTGATTTGAAAGAGGTGCTGCTTGTTTATTTCCACTGTATATGACTCGTAGGCATACTTATTGCAAAACACGAAATAAAACATTCTCTAATAATATGCGTGGAGTGTGTGTATCCTTCGTCATCTAAACTATGACAAACAAATAGCTCTGGTTTCGCTATCGCTAGCTACCAGCCCCATAAGAGCATCCATCGACCGTAATGAGTATCAACCGTCTCAGTCAAAATATTGTACAGGTCCTTCAACAGTAGCTACAGCTAGTGTACAGGGTCGCGAGCCAGGAGTGATTTACGACGTCGTGCATCTGGTGATGCTTCGTCCTCCTCTCGAGCGTGGTACCACCAGAGCAAGGCGCTGTTGTAAAGGAGTTTGCGAGGTTAAGATGGTGACCTATAGCAAAAAGCAAGTGCTGCAGGAATTTGTATGCCTGCTTACTCTATTCCATTATGATCTGAATCTTTCATATCAGATACAGTCGAAGACAAGACTACAAAGATCCTATATATCCATAGCATGACTATTGTGATACTAGGACGTGGTTCGTTGTATATAGGTGGTACGTATCGAAATATCTCGGTTGAATGCTAAGATGCTTGGTTGTGTGGTGTGAGCAGAAAAGGTGGACGCGAAACTGTCATAAACACTGAGATGTGTACCTGGTCAGGCATCTTTTGACTATCGGCAGCCTTTTCCAACAGAAAGCCCTAATGCAGAGTATACACACCTTGCCGTGGTACACTCCGAGCACTTAGTTTGATTTGTTGAGCAAATGCTTGTGACTCAAGCTGTGGCGGTAAGAAGTTCGTCTGTAATGAGACACCCAATGGATCGGGCCTGCCAACAAAAGTTCATGCAAAGACGATGAGATTTCGACGAGTTCGAGCAAGTAGGCTACCACTTAAGACATCTCGCTAACTTTGCCACAATAACAAAATGTGGAATGGTCCAAGTCTTTTTATGACGCCGAGATTCTAAGAGCTTGAAGCGATCTTTTTGGGGTGCTTCGTCAACAAAGCCCAACAGCTTTGATCCAATTTGGGCATTTTCATCAGCTCCAATAGAACCGAGAATGAGTACACTGCTGCGCACAAACTCATACTGTGTCTACTACAGTCAAATCCCATTTTCATCACAGTAATTTTTCAATACCCATCGATTCGAGCTTTAAAAGAACAGCATAGAAAAAATTGACAATCAGAAGAACCAAAGTAAGAATCACATTAAACGTCCTATGATTTTCACAGTGAAGCGGTGAGATTACAGATGATAAAGCGAGTTCCTCATCATCAAATATCAACATTGCAAAAAAAGTGCTGATTGCGTCTCCATGATGATCCCGTATCGATCAGCCAGACTTACTTGTAAAGTAGCATAGAGCAATAACCCCGGTTCTCGCATATTTCGTTGCTCGTCAGGCAAGTTTCCTCATACCCGAACTGCTCGAATTTGCAGCTTCCATCATCATCGACCACACAAACCATGAACGATGATGGCTTGAAATTTCACGTATGCCTGAGCAGTTTCTCGGTTGATTCAAAACGGTGACACTTTTGCAAACCATCCTGTACTTGACACATATCCAAAAATCTGCAAAACACAAAACCAGTTTTAGTAGCATGCAAACAGTGTATGTATGTTCATCTAAAAGCTTGCGATTATAAATCACAAAACAATCCCTCCTTTACTATACTAAACTCATGCCATCAAAGCATCCATAGCCTCCAATATAGTCGGATCCACACTCTGTATCAAGCCCTGTCGAAACTGTACAGGTCCTCCCACCGTAGCTGCAGCAGCATTCATTCGATCACGAATGAATGGTATTAGGGCTGTGGTGTGTACGGGATCACGAGCCAAGAGCGATTTACGACGTCGTGCATCTGGCGATGCTTCGTCTTCGTCTTCTTCTCGGGCGTCGTACCACCAGACTAAGGCACTAGAGATGAAGGAGCGGTGCTTAGAATAGTGCGTTTCAGCCAAAACATACGGTAGTTTCCATTAATGCTTACTCTGTGCCATTATGATCTGAATCCTTCATATCAGATACCGCCGAAGACAAGACCACAAAGATCCCATGTATCCGTGACATGACTATTGGATTACCAGTTCCCAGAAGCGTAGCGCATGCCATCGCAGTCAGTTTCCGTTGTTTGGCATGTCCCATTCCATCCATCTATTGCAAAAAAACGCTACAGAATGACACCACATGAATGACAAACACCCGAGAGCCAAACGCTACACCAACCTTCTCAATCCAATAGTCCAATATAGCACCCAACGCACCACCACTACTCACGGGACTCACACTACCATCAGACAATCCACTCATACTACCCAGCACATTCAGGAAAAAGATGTGATCATTAACAGCCATCCTTGCCAACGATGTCAAATACCCAGCAATAATATATCCCAATTCAGTCTTTTGCAAAACGGTATCCACAATCTTGCTAATCAGTCCCGTTGACGCTGCTACTGTATGTATAGCACTCGTCAGCGGTTGTGGTTGCGCAGCAGCACATGATTGCAAAATCACATCTATACAATGGAGCACTGCACTTCCAGCTTCAGGTTTAAGTGCATCACCGATGAGACGAGTGATGGATTCCATTGTTGAGTTGGCGTTTACTTGTAGGACTTCTAGTGGTGCTAGTACTATATACGATTCGACAATTTTAAGCACCTTTTTCAGTGCATCGGTACCGTATTTGAGCAGGTTGACTGCGAGTGGATATAATGACAATAGTTCAGGTGTTTGTAAATCAGTGTTTTGGATTGTGGCCAACCATAATTCTAATCCGTCTTCCAACATGTACAGCGATGCGGGTGATGCACTATTTACAGCGTATGATATTAAGGGTGTCAGGAATGGGTGAAGTGATCTAGACGGTTCTCGGAGTGCCTAGATGAGATAACGCGTGTGAGAAAACCGGTCATCAAGAAATCTTCTAATTTTTTTTTATTGCTTCATACCGTAACCAATCGAGTGAGAATAACCAATATTGAAGATCTAAACAAATGTTGGCCTTCCGACGACGCCCAGAGTGCAGGTAGCAGCTCTGTTATTCTTTGTGAGAAGGGAGCAATCTGTGATGTGGTGTAATGTGAATACTTGGAGCCAAAAAAAACAACATTAAAACTTATGTCAAATATCATTATTGGATCTCACCTGTGCCTCCATCCTCTCAATAACCATAGCCAAAGAATTGAGCACCTTCATCTTACTCTCAAACTCATCCACAGCCTCCACCAGCTGCGTAAACACAGCAACAGACTTTTCCAAATATGGTACAAACGTCACTGGATCAAAGTCCCAATCATCTACAGCAACTTTGAGATTCATAATGGCCGTTAATCGTACAGCCAAATCGGGCTCCTCAGGTGACGCTAGCTGTAATAGGAGACTATATATAGCTGGCCTTGTCTCTTTTCTCACTTTGACTCCGACCCAATGGCCAACTAGTAGAGCGACTCGTCGATGTAGTATTCTATATGGTGGTGATGGATTTGTTGCTTCTGCAATCAATCGGCCGGTAAACCACGAGTCAAAGTCGACAAGGTCGTATAGGTCTTGGGCGCAGAGACCAACTGCTGAGTATACTGCATCTCGTAGTAGGATGCAGCGAGGATCTGTATCAGGCATCTCTGATACTCGTTGGAGCATTTGTATCAGTACTGGGGACAGTAGAGCTCGATGCTGTGATACTAAATCCATCAACACCTTTTCTGCACATGCCTAATGAGTAACGATGAACGCCGTTTTGTGAGACATGGGCAAAAAACCAGATGTGACGGGATTTTCAAGTCTTCAGCAGCACTGCAGACCTCAACGTACCCTTAAATTATACTCCCAATGATCAGCCTCTTCTTCAGACACAAACGTCTCTGGATCGTCCTCCCAAGACCGCATCTCTTCTCCAGTCAGCACCAAATACTTCGAGACAAGCACTTCACAACATGACACCACGAAAGTGGTCGTGAAGAGCTCTGTATCTATAACTGATTTGGCTTTATCCACGTTTGGAATTTTAGGACCTTCAAGTCAGGGAAGAGTAAAGTTTGCGATTGGTACTCATATGCCAAAATGCGGAACTCTTTTTTATGCTCACCAGCAACAATGGAGAACTCTGCATTTTTAATGAGGGATTTGAGCAGCACCAGTCCTTGGACCAGGAATCTTTCATACATTTGATCACCTACCAATTGCGAAGCAGGTTAGCAAAATGCACAAGAAAAGGCGATTGCACCAGCTAAATCTGGCTCACCACCACCAGGCGTATACGCTTCAGCTTGCGACCAATAGAACTTGATGACTGAAATACTACCACTAGCCAACAAGAAACTACCGAGTCTCTGCTTCTCCAGATCAGTATACACCTTGCCAATCAACAAGGCAAACTTGGACGACAGCATTTGTAGTGTGCCATTTGGTCGGACGACCGATCCTTTGTTGAACGGGTGTCAGTAAAACGTGAAAACGAGCACACGCGACTTGAATGGTACGTACTCAGATGAAGAAACTTTTGCAAGTTTTCCAGCAATGATTGGAAGAATTGCTAACGATACCAAAAAGTGAGTTTCCTGCTTCATTTAAACTGGCAATGCCTAATGCTTTATACCATAGTCTCCGTATGCTGTTCGAAATCAGGAAATCCATGTACAAGCAGCCTCCTCAAGCCTTTCAGAGCATAAAGAGCAGTCCATAGAGCTCCTTCAACATCAGCATACACTTCAGCAGGTACAGCATTCAAGTTCTGCAGTATCTGTGGTACACATTCCATGACGTGATTGACTCGCTCGTAGTATATGGATGACACGTATCGGAATATCTCAGGTGAATGCTAAAAATGCAGATGTCATCAGCGAAAAAATGGGGTCGTCAAGCGATACACCCACTGAGAAGTGTTACCTGTTCAAGCATCTTCTGACTAGCAGGCAGCTTTTTCGAACACAGAGCCTTGATGACTTGATGCAGGGTATACAGAGCTCGTTGTTGTATTAGTCGGGTGTGGAGTTTGAGTTGTTGAGCAGGGAGTTGTGAGTCAGGCCGTGGCGGTGATGGTGATGTAAATGTTGATTGTATGGTTTGCAATAGCACGTGCAGTAGATCGGGCCTATAAAGCGTCGTTAAGATGAACTATCAGCGTCGGACGAAGACGAAGCTTGAGCACATTACCACTCATTAGGATAGTCGTGTCTCGCTATCTTTGCCACGATCACAGAATGTTGGAGAGCCAACTGCAACGAAAAACACAATAATTTCAGTGATATAAACAATGACACGTCGTAAACGACATCCATTCACTTGAAGGGTACCTTTTTTTGCTCCTCGTCAAAGAAACCTAACAACTTTGATCGAATCTTGGCCTTCTCTTCAGCTCCAATAGCGCTACCCAGCAATAGAATGATGAGCTCATGCAGATCCGCCCAAATTCATGAACAAACTGATCAGGTCACATACTGCTTGGCAGTTTTTCTCCAGTACTTGTCGATTCCAGCCTTGAGATACAAGATAGACAAGAGCCGAACACTCGAGTCGATCGAACGATCACAATAAATGTCCTATAGACACGATGAAGTTACAATGAAATCGTGAAATGTCGAGCTCTTCATGGAAACGATCAACATGGCAAAAGAGCTGACTGTGAAAGTTGATGCATCTCGACTTTTGACCAGGTAGTCTTACCTGTAAAGTAGAATAGAATAAAGGCACTATTTCCCAAGCTTTCAGTTGTTCTTCAGCGGGCTTCCTGATGTCTGGATTGCCGGAATTTGCAGCTTGCAAAATGGCTGAAAGTTGAAGCACTTGTTGGTTGTTAGCAGCCATTTCGAGGTATTAGAGACGACTAACTGCTATAAGTATTATAACTATTTGATATTCTATACGTGTCTCCTTGCCCAGACAGCCTCAGGCCCTCATCGGCATCACTTGATGTTTGGTCAAAAAAATGTCGAGGGCAGGACTATGTCTAGTAGTATGAGGACAAAGAGAAGATCAATGACATTTAGGACGCGTAAACACTCTATCGACCTTATCTACCCATGAAACTGGACGTGATTTTCTCGTTTTGACTCTCACAGTTTCCTCCATCCAAAAAAGCAAAACGTGAAATATCAATGTTGTCAACATTATAGGCTTCCAACACAAGAACGACACTCAGATCATGACTGAACCACGCAGAAGGTATCAGAACTACCGTTTTAATTCTCTTTTGCCTTCAACTGTCAACGTTTAATGTCCAAACATCCCATTGCATTAACAGGTCTCTTCGCTTGAACACGTCCGTCCAAAACATGGCCATACCGCCTACACCAAAACATAAAAACAAGCATTCTGTCGATATTTTATGGAAGGCCAAGGTCTCCATTCGCCTCCCTCATGATGTACTCCGTCTCGTCTTCGACAACATTGCAAACCAACACGACAAGCTCGAACGTACGCGTTCTCTGCTCAATCTGGCTCTAGTCTGCAGGGGATTCAACCGTATCGCATGCGCCATCATATATAGCATGGATCTAGACTTGAGCACTACCTGGCGTGATGCTCCTGTTAGCAAGGCCTTCAAGGAGAGTCTGGTATATATTAGGGACAGAACCTCAAAGCAATACAACCAACAGGCTCTGGAATATGTAAAGACGTTGATGATCAATATAGCAAATCTGGATTGGTTTGGTAGCATCAGGGACTTGCCCACATTAACTCGTCTGCACGTCAGGTTTGATGGCAGAACTAAAGGGCTGGTTGTATCGGAATGGGATTTGCCAAATACCCTGACAAGGCTCGATCTGGACTTTGAGGGCTATGACAAGTCGACTAATACATGGGATACAGTTTGTAAGCAGTGTCCGAAACTCACCATACTCAACATATATGACGCTACGCCAAACACTCTCGTCAAGATGGCTCCCTTCATCGCAAATCTAAAGCTGGCTGAATTCTCGATTGAAAACCGTAGTTCAATGGTCACGCTCAGCTCTAGTATCCCATATAGTCTCAACATAAAGAGTAGAAAGAGTCTCAAAAAGTTAAAGATTGGTGGATATGGCATGCATACGCTCACACCCGACATATTGGACGAGTTTGAGGAGCTCAAAGATATTGATATCCGATGTGATCGACGAGCTGATAACTCCCAAATCCAGGGCCATCTAAGATTCAACCAGATACGCTCGATACGGAACGGAATCACCTCATTCACATACGAATCATCAGGCTCTTCTTTAAATATTACCGACTTTATAATCGCCAACTCGATCAGTCTAGAAAAGCTTGTGCTATTAGGAGCCTCACCAATAATCGAACGCCCCATACTCGCTGAATGTATAAAATTGACGCATCTCGATATATCAGCTGAGAACGCCATCCGTGGAGATCTCGTCAGCCTGCTGAAAACCAATGGACATCAATTCCACACTCTGTATATAGAGGGCGACGTAAAAGAAAACGGACTGCTGTCGTCCATAATACAATCCTGCCTCAACTTGTCAGTCCTTCGACTATACGACGACGCGACTCTTACCAGTGAAACAATAGCAGAAATCATAACCAGCATACCAAATCTACGACTCGTTGGACTTGTCGAACCCGTCTATGGACATCGCAAATTCCATAATGGTGATGTGCTGTTAAGGGCTATACAAGAACGAAGAAAGATGGTGCCGAGGCCGAATACTCTCATAATTCAGGACTTCAAAATTGAGTTGTCGAAAGATGCTATGGTTGAGGTTATGGGAGGGAATGAGAATGTTGGGAATGAGAATGATGAGTCACATCAATGTCTCGCTGCAAGGGGTGAAGAGTATGTTGGGCCGTATACAGTGTTGAGGGAGTTTAGTGTGAGGCCAAAGGGAATGACGGACGTTTGAAGAATTGAGGTGGGTATTGTTGAAGCTTGTGTGGGCTGTAGAGCCAATTGTTGAAGTTTTCTTTTGCCCAGTGAATTGACACCCATTGTTTACATAGTTGTAGAGAAGGTGATGAGATGCGTTGGAGCTGGTATGGAAGTAGTGCTTGAGGCACTTTACATCATAGATCTGTAAAAATGTTTGTTTGTATTGGGATTTGTTTCATGTTTAATTCACGATTTCAAAATACACACTTATATCCTAGTTAATGGTATTTCGATGATCACAAATGAAATGCACACGGACTGTGTGTTGGTTTCGTCGGTGAGCCAAAACTGCAAAAGGGACGCAAGAGCTCACACCCAAGTCAGGATACTGTTTCTCTGTGGTGCCATGGTGTAACATGTCCTGCCCAAATCTCGAAAGCTTCAGTCACGTCTCATTCACGACATTTGTTCATAAAACTGGCGTCTGACGATTTGCATGCAGCAAGTCGAGACGTAAGTCGTTGAGCACGAGTATCAGAGTGGACTTCGGTCAAGGATTCGAAGACATTTTCGGCAGCTTTGAAGACGGAGGCGTTGAATCGTTTTCCTGGGCTATTCCTGGGGGTCTTGGACGATGCGTTGATAGATATTTTACTGGCACCAGATCCAGTAAGCAAATGGTGTTTGATCAGCTGTTCAATATTAGGGCGTGATCTCAGACTAGCAAAACGCGGTTGGTTCAAATTCGGGAACGCCGAAACACATCTTGAGCATGCACGTTTAAACGACGAAAGCTGCTATGGTAACGACAGTTGCGACTCTGTATTGGCATCATCGCATCGATAATAAACACCACACCCTTGTCAGCTTTAAAAGAGTTTTGTCAAGTTGTCAAACATCCCGATACCAAAGCGATCTGCAAAGTAGACCTCAATGCTAGCTAGAGCAAGTAACTATTATCATTCATGCAATGTTTCTAGTAGTCCTTCTTGAACCTGACACGGTGTTGAACTGCTGCGTTGACTACCCTTCACTCATACTACCTCGCGTTGACTACCTTTAAGTCCATTGCAATACTATTGTATATTGTATTCATAAATGTCCTCTATTAATATTCAGATTGCACCCGTAGGCCCAAACAAGAATTGTCCCGCAAGTGCTGCTATAAGCACAATTAAAAGATTAAGTTGTTTGTGCTAAAATACAACAAATGTTAGCTCATGTCTTTGCACGCAAGATATAACCCAAACACATTTGCTCGCCTGTATAGTATACAAAGCAGCCAAAACTGCGACAAACACAACAACCGCCAGCAGCGATTCATTTACAGCAGTGAATCTAGCATCAACAGCCGTAATAGCAACCAAATTAACCGAGATAGCCGATCTAAGAATCTGCAATGCCGTCACAGCAACAATGCCCACCACAGAGGCCGACACACCATCCAGCACAGCCGATACAGCAGGCATATTAACAACCCGTTCAAAGAACGAGTGTCCAATAATCACAAATGCAAAACATGGCAAGAAGATTCCGACAGTGGCTAATATAGCACCTGCAAATGCATACCCTATGTCGTTATAATAGTATTCGCCACCAGTGTATCCGACGAATGTGGTGAATATGACTGTTGGTGCTGGGAGGACGTTCGCAAGGGCAATGCCATCGAGGAAGCGTTGTTGGGAGATCCAACCACCCACTACCACTGCTTCTTGTTGCATAAACGGGATTGTTGTGAAGGCTCCGCCGAATGATAGTGAGCCGACCATGAGAGAGACTGCGAATATGCGGGCGAGTGTTGGTGTGCTTGCTATTCCTGTTGCCAGAGCAGCAGCACTTGGGAATCCTTTTACGGCAAAGTCTACAGGGACAAGTAAATTAGTTTCTTGGTTTTGAATACCTGGTTAAGCGTGTTCAACACCAGTCTACGCACAAGCAGCATAAGCTCCATATCCAGCTAGAAAGACGAGTCCAGCAGCCCAATACATTTTCCTGTCATACAACCCATTCAATATACCAAACACGGCCAGCGTAATCAGAAAATTGATCCGTAATGCCGAATTCAAAGCACCCAATAAAGCCAAGAATAGCAAATGGTTTTGGATTTTTTTCGTCTTGTGATCAATCACTGCATGTTCGGCCAGTTTATGCACTGCCCTATAGTTGCAGTTTGCAGGGATTCATTAGCATAACACTTCATAGGCTCCCAGCTTCTTGAACCCACAGTCGAGACTTGCCTAAACACCATGGCAGCAACAGCAGGCTGTAGTGCTCTAAACGAAGCATGGAAATACGGATTATCCAGTCCAATGATGGAATAGACCCAACTTAATAACAGCATCAATGAGAATCCTGGGAGTATAAATCCCAATCCTCCTATCAGTGCTCCTATTTTGCCTCGAGAGAGATGACCAAAATAGCAGCATAGCTCGGCTGCTTCTGGCCCAGGCTAAGTATGAGGTTGAGGTTATCACAACAGCCGTTACTTGAAAAGAACTAGTGGATTGTGTGCCTGTTTTTTCTTTTACTCACGAGGACTTGATACACGGCATAGACCTTGTTAAACCTTCAAGAGTCAGCAGAGATTGACATGGTCAGTACGTAGTCATTGTCATTTGACACGGTTAAAGCAGTGCTGTGACATACTTTGGTATTGAAATCCATTTTTGTTCCACAACCAATTTCTGCTTGATGAGTGCTATTTGAGCTACAGGGCCACCGAAGGCTTCAAATCCAAAGCCCTATAAAGATGATCCAAAACGGTTAGGGTCTGATGATTGCTATTCAATGGCCAGATTCGTTTTCGAAATCAAAACCTCATATCACAGCAACCAAGACTTTCTCAAAAGATTCACGGTAAAATATGACACGTACTTACCAGGAACAACAAAAACAATCTAAACAAGCTCAACCTCGGCGGTTCAAACTTGCTCTCATCGTCTTGATCGTCAGGTTTTGTTGTTGCAACATTCAAAACCGTCACTTCAGATTGTGCAGGGGAAATCGGTGGTGGCGGTGGTGGTAAGGATAGATCTTGACTCATGATAGGAGTATTTTCGGAATCTTGCATCCTCAACAGTCCTCAATCAACTTGGAACATTGAGAAGCTCTGAAAATTACGAGGTAACCATGGAAACCAGGGATGTCGCAATTCACTGACCAAGAAAGCGTTTGGCTTTGGATTCACTATACTTGAGATTGTAGCTTGGAAGCTGATTTCAAGTGCCTCGGGTCCATGGCGATGCTCGTCCTACTGCGGTATTGTCCGGAAATGCGGTGGCTTCAAGACGACGAGACCTTTAACGTCGACTATCATAACACAGTATGAGACATAGACTCCTTGACATGAGCGCATCGTATATCCGTTGAGGTGTAGTGTGCATCCAAGGTAGCTCGTATGGAAATGTTGCGAAGCGGTATCAGGATTTCGGTTCTCGTCAACTCTCCAACAATGAACTCGTCAAATTCAGCTGTTACACTACCGCCTAGTAGATTAGCAGAGGAATATTCATCCAGATGTCACAAAGCCTGAAGTAGGCAGTTATTTTTACCACTTGCGATTGCCAGAACACAATTTTGCGGCCAATGTTGATGTATTGCCCTGTAGCATCATTCTACGTGTTTCGACTAGGTGAGCGGGATTCCAACAGTTACGCACTCATGAATCAACTCGAAAAGAAGTCGGTTATATCCATGTTCGTAATATCTCCCACTCGCCTCTTCGTCTATAAAACTGGCCAAACTGTGGCGTCAATTCCTAACATCCAATTGAATAACCCTTCACTATAAGGATTGGAAGTTAAGAATCCAAAGCCAAACATGCACGAAATATTATCAGATTCAACTACTTTTTCTCATCTGCCAACAGTCTCTGTTCTAGCTTCAAGTGCTCGACAATTACAAGAAATTTCAGCAGTGGTAAGCTTCAGAGGACGTCCAAAAGCCAAAAGAGCCTCTTATTAGAGGACCAATCGATATTTCACGTGTTCCAACACGCAATTGAGGACCTCGTACTAGCTGGAAACGGTATGGAGGTGGTGAGTAACGCAGCAGTAAGCACAATCGCACTGGACAGCACAAACAAGCCTGAAAAACGACGAGTCCGGGTCCGCTAGATTTATATATTCTGCGAATAGTCTATTTCGTTTTATGATCCTGTCAATGATGAGCTTCATGTGACGATGACAGCTAAATTATGTCTAACCTCCAATACCGAATGACACCGTCCAACTTGGATTTGAGCTCTTCTTGGCTGACGGATTCGTTGAACCTGACTGAGATGACACTAATATAAGGGATTGAGGCATGCGGGATACTACGTCGTAACTCAACAGCCTTTAGGAACATGTCCCCATCTAATACTGCCTCAGAGCACGAAAATCGCTCCAGCTTTGTCAAACGAGCGATAGTATCATGGACGAGTTTGTTCCATTGTGGCACTTCAGTACGGGTGGTCCAAAATTGGAGGTTTGTCAGATTCAGAGCATATTCTGGGATTTGAGTGGGATTATATGGAGGTACCTTCATGTCGTCCTTGTGGTATGTTATATCTAGAAACTGAAGCTTACGACCGTGAGTCCTCAATAAGGCGTCGAGATCACCACGTTGAGCATTATCGGAAGATATGTGTAATTTCTTCAGACGGCTACAACTACCTAGGACGGGCGCGTTGATCGTTACGGGATGCTTTGTGTATAGTTCTACTAGAGTTGATGAGTTTGTGGTTATAAATTCGGTGAAATTTATCGGAGAGTAGCAACCGTCGTAAAATAGTGTGATTCCAGGTCGTAGAGCGTCGAGTTGGTGCTGACTCATAAAGGCTTGATTGTAGAATACTTTGATGCATTCAAACGACCTAATACTTTCTACAGTATCGTTCAAAATGATAGATCCATTAATGCGTACTTCCGTCAACGATTGACGACTCCCTGATAGACTGGCAAGGGAAAACCGGAATTGCTTGTCCTCATCCCTGTTGTTTATATCAAACTCTGACAATCTCATGCGGGATAACATTGTTGACATGCTCGTATACAGTCCCTCCCAGTTAACATCGATTGTTAGCGACCTCAGCTGTGGTACCTGTTCAGGAAGAACTGTCCAGTTTGCCCTCTCCCACTTGAAGCAAAGATCCCTCCCAAAGACGTCAAAAGATATCCCGAGTTTGGATATAGTTGGTGGGAGATTCCAATCATTTACGGGGATGTATCCATTTACATTGATCGTCAAGCTATTCAGCGACGAGTATTCAAGATCCATGAGGCCAACCCAGACCAGGTGGCTCAGTTCGAGATACAAGCGTTTGACATGACAAAGACCTTTTTGCCTATATATACCTGCTTGACGCCTTCTGGCGGCGTTCAAGCCCCTCCTGAATGAGTTCGTCATGGGGTCGTCCGTGTTGAATGACAATGACAGGTGTCTATACAGTCTACTGCATGCCAGTCGATTAAACCCTTTACAAACTAGAGCCACGTTCGCCAGCATTTGCATTATGAAGCGCTCCCCCTCCCCGTGGGCTAGTTGTGTTTTGGGGTTCAAGTTGATGTTGTCGAATATAATGAGGAGTATCTCGTCAGGTAGCCTGATAGCAATCTCCTTGTAGTTTACGTCATAAAATTCCATGTTTTCAATCCTATTGACGCAATAACTGTCATTAGCGTGTGGTCCAAATAAATAATAAAACGACCAAGTTTGCGATATGAAAATGAACTAGGAGCATTACCATCTTACCTGTCTATCAGTATACACCAATATCAACAGCTTCAACTCTTTTATGACTTGCTATACTTTCAGAGATGTTCTAGCTTCCTGTCTTTTATTAGGTGGACAAGGAACTTCACGAAGTAAGCTGCCAAGTACAGTGGCAAGAGTCAAATTACGGAAAACAAAACAAATCGTCAATTATCAATTATTCATCTTTACGCGTCATGATACGTTTGAACATATGGGCATCTTTGAACTTTGGGCCAATCGGGCACAATGTCCTGCTGCAAAAACGAACGCAACTTCAGAGTGAGATGCAAACAATGTGGTGGTTTTGTCACTTAGCGCAAGGGGTAAATGCATACAGCCTGGACTCTCAAGTACTCTTCCATGCGTCAGAACTACCCTCGTCGGAACTGGATCAGACTATGCACCAACGTCAAATCGGCTCCATCTTGATCATCCAAAGCACTGGTTTGAGGCTTCTAACTTTCAGATCTGATATACCAGCTACCAGCTGTATGTGCTATCTATACTATATATTGATGTGCAATTGCAACTAAAAGACTATGTTTAAGGGGTGATACCCAATGACTCCCTCCAACTTCGATTTGGGCTCTTCCTGGCTCACGGATCCGTCGAATCTGACTGAGATGTCACTAATATGAGGGATTGAGGCATGTGGGATACTGCGTCGTAACTCAACAGCCTTTATGAACATGAACATGAACAACTCTTCTACCCGATGCAGAGACAATTACTGGATCCAATCGTAATTGTCCAAGGCAGCACAGCACAGGAATTGGCCAGACGGGAGTGGAAATCGACCCAACGGAAGCCTGCACTCCTTGCAAAGACAATTACTGGATCCAATCGTAATTGTCCAAGGCAGCACAGCACAGGAATTGGCCAGACGGGAGTGGAAATCGACCCAACGGAAGCCTGCACTCCTTGCAAAGGATATTTTTTCCTGAGTTTGGGAAAGAAGGAAAGGAGAAAGGCAGCACGCTATAGTGTCTCATGGATCACGCATTGAAGGAATTGCTGCTAATTTTCGACGTGCTGAAACAAAGGCGCTAGATTACGGACTTGAATTCCAGGTTCACGGCCATACCACCTTGTCCAGGTCTCAAGCGCTTTCGAAAGAGCTACCATGCCTTGAAACAACTGTCTGCTAAATCGCCTGAAGATATAGGCACAACAATGAGAACCCATCCTTGCCTTTTGCATGGTCTGTTGGATCAACGACCAGTGGCAACATAGTATCTTGGGGATGTTCAGTATACTAGGAGATATACATTATCTGATTACCGCGCACTCTTGGTCAGTTGCGTGTAAGGACACGAGGGGCTCTCACATCTTATTAGTTTGTTAATGCAAGTTCTTATCTCAAAAGTACCTGCGTCCAATCCTCACTATTAGCCGTATAGCCTTGTTTCCACAGGCTACACGTGAGCTCAATGAACTACTTGGGACAGCTGGGAAAGCTAAACCTTGGGAGTTTATAAAATTCAGGGTGGTGGACGGGGTTTGATCGTGTTCAAAGCAAATTGTTGATATTGGAGTCATACTTCATATAATGATATCACGTCTATACGATTATGTTTAGCTCTAATCGTCATGACGAATATTAAAGTGACGTTCCCAAGATATGACCACCACCAGAGCAATTGGTTGCGACCCCCGTGTTTACACTAACAGAGTAGCCGGGATTTCGTTCGTTACCAACGTGAAGGTTCACGTACGCCTTCATTACAACATGATTGTAAATACCACAAACACGACGTGTCATGACCCGATAACGGTGGCGACGTGACGACGGCGGTTCAGCGTCACTGGTTGTGTTTGAGATTTTTTATTTCTTTAAAACTACAACCGTGTCACTATAAATGAGACTACTGTTTGTCCAGTTTCTGAACAATGAAATATCAGTCACCTTTATAATATTTAGAATCTGAAAGTCGAATTGCTCATATTGGGACCTTTAACTGTTGGCCGGTATGTTCAAATGCTCGAAATCACGCACATCAATTTCGCAACGCTTCGGACTTCTCAAGTTCTCAAGCTTTCTCTAGGATATCATCAATCAATAAATTTTTAAACCATGGAAGCATCTGCTTTCAGCTACAAGGAGGATGCCATCATCCTACCTGACGAACTTCTCCTCGTCATATTCGAACACGTCAAACGTATGGGAGAGCCCATCGCAACAAATCAATGTCTGACGAACATGGCACTTGTCTGTAAAGGATTTAATAGGATGGCCTGTAGCCAGCTATATTCTACGGAATTGGGCTTGCGCGATAAATTATTCCGGGAAGGATTGAAACAGCACTG